ATGTTGACACAATGATTCTAATAGTGATATGCTGTGCAATTGAGGCTTGAAATACTTTTTTTTTCTCCTTTGGAAAAAATATCAATGGAATAAGAGAGATATCAGTGTAATGCAAGCAGATTTTTATGTTTTTATGTGAAAGAACTACTATTCAAAACAGGCAATAACAGTATACCCAACGTGTAAGCTTTTAATACTATTGATATACAACGGTTCTATTACATGTTCTTGCACCAGTTGGCGCTTCTGGGCTCATTTATATGAGAACTGTCAAGAAGGCGCCGTGTCGTGTAAATGTGTGCGGTGAAATGAATTATTGTTCAAAAATGATGAGGCATGCCGTTCAAATGTGGTACTCCGTAAATTGGGTGTCGATATTGGTCGGAATGATAATTCTGCTGCGGATCGGTCCAATATTGCGGTAAAAAAGACGAAGACTGGTGATGTGGCCTGGCAATTTGACTGTGTTGTGCCAAATTGCCATGTTGGAAATTATCAGGAACACCGTATTGGTATCTACTATCGACTCGGTAGTTCAAATTCATGTTTTGGTCACTATTCTGAAAAAATTGATTGTTATTATAACCATTCGAGTAGCCAAAATTGTCATTACGTCTGATGTTATTGCGCCGTTCAACAAATCGGCCGTATCCACGACGTGATCGTTGGAAATTTTCATTCCAATTCCTGCGATTTGGTTGTGATCGATAATTGTTGATGGTTTTGCTTCTCCATGGCATTGAATTTGGCCTTTGACTGTGACCATTTTGGTTTGGACGTTGACGCCGATGTTTATTCTGACCAAAACGTTGACGATTTTGTCTGGCTTTCTCTTTCAGAAATGTTCTGACCATATAATCAGATGCCCATATTTCATTATTCAGGATTTGATTATATATCGATTGGTTCAGAGTAGAGATTTTGAACGCCAAATACTGTCTCGGTTGTTTCTTCCGTTTTCCTTGGGGCAAAATATGAACTTGAAAACATTCATTATTTGTAAGACCAGTTTTTTCCAAAACCAATTCAACGATATCATCGGGTGTGGTACTCAATGGAAATTTTATTATTATTATTATTATTCTGCACCTAATTTTGATAAGTGGATCGAGTAAACAACTGCATCGGGTGAATGTGAAACCGTTTCACCGGTTTGGATTGATTCGACAATTGTTTCAATTTCACTTTGGATAGATATCGTTATCTTTTCACCAAGTTTCTTCATTGCATCTGCCAACATTTTCCGATCAGCATTAATTTGAGTGTCAGTGTCACCATTCTGTTTATTTTCTTCAATTTGTGTCGTTTGTTTTGCTTCCAATTGTTCAATGGCATTTTTGAGGTTATCCAATTGACCATTGAGGCTATTCAATTCAGCGGATAGGCGTGATATTTCATCTGTTTTGTTTCTGATCTTCGTTTTCAAGGTGCCATTCTGTTTTTTCATCTCAACAAAATAATTCCTGCACATTGCGCATGTAACTGTTATCGCTGATGATATGGAGAAGTATATTTTCAATCGTTGTATAATGTGCTTATAATTTTCGGCTACCGGTTGTCCGCGATCATTGTACAGGTTGAATTTAGTGAATAGTCTCTTTGTGGCTTCACATTGAATGTAACACTTCTCATGGCAAGAAAAACATTGCAGATATTCACCATCAAAATCCGATCCCGTGCATTTACTGGCATCACAGTTATGTATTTCGGCAGACATGATTTCAACTCAGAAGGAAAAAAAAGCATCAACAAAACAAAGCGGTGAATGTATAGTTGTATGTTTATGTTTTTTTCACTATTGATTGTGACTTTCTTTTCAAAAAATTCACTGAACTTCAATGTTTTCTTAGAAATTTTCATCCAATTTTTCTATTTCAATCAAGAAATTTCAGAAAACTTCGATAAGTTTTCTCGATAGAAGAACACAAAAAATATTTAAATTTAATTTAATAATGCGGAGCAATGAAAATGTACTTGTTATCTTGGTTATTTTGAAATCACTTGTCAATGGTCGGACGGTTTCAATGCTTTTCAAGTGATTAATAATGTCGGCAGGCTCGATTGTCGGTAGAAATTCGGTCAAATAAACCGAGCGCATCAATACAGTATCAACGGGCTTTGAATTTGCACCGTTTTGTCCACTGTTCCCGCTGGCATCACGACGAAAAACCAATTTGCACAGCGGTGAAGTGTCACTTTGCTCTTCCTCTGAAGAGTTCAGTTCTTCCGAATCAAGTCTGGGTCGCTTGCTTTTATTCCGCCGTGAAATGTTTACATTTTGCAAGTCTCAAAGCGGTAAACCCGAGTTTGACACGTTGTCCGGTATTTGTTGCTGAGCTTGAGTTGGTGATGGTGTTTCATCCATGGGCCCAGTACGTGAGTTTGCCGATTTATCGGCTTGGTCCGAACTCACGGAGCTAATTTCGTCAGGATAAAGTTTTTTGAGCTGGTTTAATTTGGTCCATATTAGCTTCAGCATTGTCAGCAGCTCAACGATTTGGTTTTTTACCTCACAGTTCGATGTACACATGTTTACAGTCAGTCAGTAGAAAACAACAATAACAAGTAAACAGAACGAAGAAAAACTTGAAGAAATTATACACTGAAAACTGTACACAAAATAAATTTCGAACGAAAACTTTATATTGCTGAGGTAAAACAGGACTTAAACTTCTAATTTGATGTAAAATATCATATAATTAAGACGAAAAACAAACAAATTTGTTAAAAATAGACGGAGAGAAAAAAAAGTAGACGTCTAATTTGACAGGTGTTGCCATATTGTGATTTAATCACACTTTACAATGTCCAATAAGGAGAAAATGGGACTTTTTTAATGAAAGTGGAAATTTGCTATTTACAAAACTCGTGAAATGTGGATGCAAATGTTTTACCCGAAAAATTACAATTTCCCAATGATAAGACCTTAAAATAGACATATTTCTGGCAAAATTGTATTTTTTCCGAGAATATTTGCCTTACAAAATTAGTGATATCAGATGAAAAACCTCTAGGCGAGGTTAAAATGGAGTGACGCTCCTGTGCGTGGATTTACCACTCAAAATGACTGATATCATTTTGAGTGATGCTTTGACGCTGTATTATCTCTGGGTACGAAGTTCAAGTGTTTTTCGCATTCACTATTGTGAAAATTTTATTTACAATAAGGAAAAATATCGCGTCATGACTTTTGGACGGCAAAACGCTTTAAAGCTTGACTTGAAGACTAAATTCAAAAGTCGTGACGCGGTATTTTTCCTTATTGTAAATAAATTTTCACAATAGTGAATGCGAAAAACACTTTTGAACTTCGTACCCAGAGATAATACAGCGTCAAAGCGTCACTCAAAATGATGTCAGTCATTTTGAGTGGTAAATCCACGCACAGGAGCGTCACTCCATTTTAACCTCGCCTAGAGGTTTTTCATCTGATAATGTTTACTCTATGACAGCTGTTATTGTTTTCGTAAATAAATTTTTACAATAGTGAATGCGAAAAACACTTCTGAACTTCGTATCCAGAGGTAATACAGCGTCAAAGCGTCACTCAAAATGATGTCAGTCATTTTGAGTGGTAAATCCACGTACGGAGCGGAGCGTCACTCCATTTTAACCTCGTCTAGAGGTTTTTCATCTGATATGTAGTTTTGGTAGTTTAGCGGTTTTCTACATCCAAGAAATTTTTTACATGTAAAAAACGTAATTTACAGTTTTCTACGTAGATAACATGGCTTAAAAATTGTGTAAATATGCCAACCTTGGTAAAAACTGAGTTGCATCACGAAATTAGTTTCTCCTGAAACGTAGAAACGGCAGAGGTCATAGCTATTAAACTTGCTGATGTTCGACCATAACCATAGCCCATTCTGAACTCAGGGCGGCCTCAACTATCGCCTGGCACTTGAACATCCCATGTTTCCATCTAAAAAAAAACACGCGTCGGACTGTGTAATAACACTAATGGACAAATTTTGAAGAATTGAATCTCGATTGAAACGGCTAGTATAGCGAGTTGGGACGCCGGCCAATGATTACAATGTCATCTTCCGTTTGTTTGAAACCTCCCCAAATTTTTTGAGATTTCAACAATTATGTGATATGGGCATTACATCACTCACTTGCAAGATAAAGTTTGAACTAAAGTTCCCCCGAAGTCTACAAAGATGTTCCTATCAAACGCGCCATAGGATGTGGGTTCAAGTTCTCTACAGCAAAAGTTATGAACCTAAAGGTGATGAACGGAAAACAAAAGATGATAAGTTTTACCAACATTTTCAGCAAATCGGGTGAAATATTCCCCAGCATAGGTTCTGACACCAAAAAATTCAGGGGGGGTCAAGCCAAAAATTCAAGGGGGGTCAAAAAAATCAATTCTATCTAGTGTAAATTTCTTCCCGAAAAAAATTGCTGACCGGGGGGGTCATCCGCAATTTCGAATTTGAAGAGCAAAAAAAGGTCCTCGCTCTCAAAAATCGATTCTATCTAGTGTAAAACCGGTATCCAGAACAAAGTGAGGACTAAAAAAAAAAAAAAAAGGTCCTCACTTTCGAAAATCGATTCTATCTAGTGTAAAACCGGTATCCAGAAAAAAGTGGTGACTAAAACAACAAAAAAGGTCTGAAAATGGCAACGGGTCCAAAAAATCGTTGGGGGTCAAATTTTGCCGGGGGGGGGCAAAATTTGCCAGGGGGGGTCAGGATCAACGAGATCAGACTATGTCAGAACCTATGTTCCCCAGATTGCGAGATATTGTCGTTGATTTCAAAGTTTCAAAGCCCATATAGCTCGAACGGTAACAGGTAAAAACCACCGATTTCACATAATTGTTGAAATCCCAAAAATTTGGGGGTGTTTCAAACAAACGGAAGATGGCATTGTAATCCTTGGCCGGAGTGCCAACTCGCTATACCAGCCGTTTCAATGGAGATTCACTTCTTCAAAATTTGTCCATTAGTGTAATAACAATAATGTTTGTTTTTCTTTGTCCATCTTAGGCATTTGACAATCAATTCGCTCGCTATTCCTGACACATTTTGTTCAACTGACACAGATTCTGGATATCAGTGCCCGCCCGGGATGAAATGTATGAAGCTTGACTTCTTGAGCAGTTACGTAATGGGATTTAATGGTTTTGAGGACATTTACACGAGCATTTTCACGGTCTATCAGGCATCATCGCAAGAAGGATGGGTTTTTATCATGTACCGAGCAATCGACTCATTACCGGGATGGCGTGCTGTTTTCTTTTTCAGTACCATGATTTTCTTCCTTGCTTGGCTCGTGAAGAACGTCTTCATCGCCGTCATCACTGAAACTTTCAACGAAATTCGTGTGCAATTTCAACAACATTTGTGGGGTGTTCGTGGTCAAATTCAGAACAGTTCAACCACACAACTATTAACTGGCGACGATTCAGGTTGGAAACTAATCACAATTGATGACAATAAGCACGGTGGGCTCGCTCCAGAAGCATGTCATGCCATTTTAAGATCACCCTACTTCAGAATGATTGTAATGACCGTTATTTTAGCCAATGGCATAGTCACGGCGACTATGCATTTCAAACACGATGGTCGACCACGACAAGTGTTCTACGAACACTATTATTATATCGAGATAGTGTTTACGTTGTTCTTGGATATGGAAACACTTTTCAAAATATATTGTTTGGGTTGGCGCGGCTACTACAAACATTCCATTCATAAATTTGAGCTACTCTTGGCAATTGGTACAACGTTGCACGTGATTCCCGGCCTTTATTTGTCGGGCTTGACTTATTTCCAAGTTTTGAGAGTAGTTCGTTTGATTAAAGCCTCTCCAATGCTTGAAGGATTCGTCTATAAAATTTTTGGACCCGGGAAGAAACTTGGAAGCCTCATCATATTTACTATGTGCTTGTTAATTATTAGTTCTTCAATTTCGATGCAATTGTTCTGCTTTCTATGCGATTTCACGAAATTTCAAAGTTTTCCGGAAGCATTCATGTCTATGTTCCAGATATTGACTCAAGAAGCGTGGGTTGAAGTAAGTTTCGTCAAAGTCCCATTAACTAGCTTTGATTATTGACATTTTTGAAATATTTTCAATGATCTATTTTTTCATGCTGCTTGGCTCAGGTTATGGACGAAGTAATGATTAGGTAAGATTTAATCACGCCGGATCGATTAATAATTTCACTTTTCATTGTGCTATAAAGTTGGCGACAGCACGCGAGTGACGAAAGCACCCTAGTGCTGAAAGTCGAACCCATTTATCACAGCCGGCGACAGCAGGCGCGAGTGACGAAAGCACCTCTGTGCTGAAAGTCGAACTCGCCTATATATACACGCAATTTCGAACTTTTTTCCTAAGAGGCCATCTGGTATGAATGAAGTATCGCTAGGAAGCCCCTGGCTCATAGGCCCAGAAAATGCATTCAAACTTGGGAATCGACCAACCGTCTCCATAGAAATAGCCACTTGAAAATTATGTGCAATTATCAGTTTTCCCCATTTACCGGGTGTTGAACGCGGCCCGTTCATCTTGAAACATGTTTTTTCTGAGTCTACTCGTCGAGACCTTTCCAACAAGCCCAAGAACGTCGAAATTGGACCATCCGTTCATGAGTTATGACGATTTAAAAAATTTCTTTGGCGTCTCCACCAATTATTCTGAGATAATATTTTTTCTGTCCGTCCGTCCGTCCGTAGTTTTTGTCCGATCTTTTTCAAACTTTCAGACATTGAACTATATCAAAAACTAAGACTTTTTTGTTCCGGCATTTTTTGATTTGGCCGCCATCTTGGCCTTGGCCGGCCTTTGAAAATTCAAAATATGGCCTTCTTTCCAATGATCACTGTGCCTAACCCAGTCAACCGATTTCAAACTTTTGGGTATCGTTGGAAAGGTCTTAAGGCCAGCTATCAAATGACATCTATTCTAATTTGAAAAAATTGAGTTGGCATGGTCTTATCTGGCGAAGAAACGCTGTATGGTGCAGAAATAATATTTTTTTTTATGGGCAGAAACCCAAGAAAATGGACACCTGGCCTTGCATAAATCGGCCATTTTCTCAAAAACGGCTCCGACGATTTTTTTAAAAAATTTTTGGAATTTAGCCTCAAGTTAGAGCTAAAATTTGAGATATTTTTTTTTCAAAAGTTTTTCTTCCTTTTTGAATTTGAGAAAACTGAATTATTTGAGAATTGTTGTTCTTTGTAAATAGTTATTTTAAATTTTGAAAATTGTATTTTGAACAATGTCGGCTTGTTTTTAGGTAGACAATAAAACACTATATATAATATAGCTTATAATTATCTGGGAAAACTCTGTTTTTTGAGATATAGCCATTAGGAGTTAGAAAAAAAATGAAAAATCGACAAAAATCGACTAAAACTCATTTTTGTTGCCGTGAATTAGGGCAAAATCAAAACCAAAGTGATTTTACGTTCAGATAAATAAAATTCCTTCAGATACCAGCCCTTCACCAAGTCTTTTTATTCCACGCAATCAACAAAAAACACAAAAAAGTACTTTTCATGAAAAAATCAAAATCAAAATCAGAAAAATTCATCATCAAAAAACTAAACATGTGATAGTTTCTTAGTATAAAAGCGATATGTAATTTCATCAAAACAAAATGTAATTTCATCTGTCTGTCCAAAATTCAAATTTTATTTAACAAAAATTTTTTTTTAATTTTTTCTCCTCCGGTGTGCGACTCGAACTCGAGTCCACACGCTCATAAGTCTGCTCTCCTACCTACGCGCTGATTTTGCTTTATTCAAAATGGCGACAATGCTGGTTTTTAACTACAACATTTCATGTGTCATTTTTTTTTTGGCTCAATACACATCACTTTGTGTTTGTTTAGTGTTAGTTGGTAAAAAAAACTTTGGGTACAAAACAATTGATATCAAATAAAAAAACTTCTTTCGAAGTAATTCCTCATGACGAAAGCGAACATAAAACAGCTGATATCAATTTTAAAAAATCAATTGCGATTCCCAATTCGACCAATCGGCTCCACATAAATAACCATTTGAAAATTGAAAGCATTTTTCAGTTAGCTGTCAAAGTCATAACAAGTACATTTTCATTGCTCCGCATCATTAAATCAAATTTAAATAGTTTTTGTGTTTTTCTCGAAGAGTTTTCTGAAATTTCTTGATTGAATAGAAAAATTGGATGAAAATTTCTAAGAAAACATTGAAGTTCAGTGAATTTTTTGAAAAGAAAGTCACAATCAATCGTGTAAAATCACAAACATACAACTATACATTATTATTATTATTATTCTGCACCATACAGCGTTTCTTCGCCAGAGGTGGTTTATTTAGTATAAATAAAAATATTCTGGTATATTTACAATATATACAAATTCAATTTCTCCAAATTCGGTTTCTCTTAAAATATTCAGCTAATCTCTGTTTTACAGTATTTGTACTTGCATTGAAATCAATTAAATAAGTATCACAACTCGGAATCAAAGTAATATTACATTCATTTGGTAAATAATAAGGGTGGCTTGATAGAAAGGAGTTTCAAACTTGGCATAGTTATTACGATGCGTCGGCAACAGCAGAAAATCTGAGTCTCTCGTCCAATGTCGCGGTGTTTTAAAATTAAT